GGAGAAGGAGAACAGAGGAGGAGGAGGAGGGGAAGACTTCTCCTCCTCCTCCTCCTCCTCCTCATCCTCCTCCTCCTCCTCGTTCGTGTTCGTATTAATGATGAACATACAAAAAATCGATATTACGCATAACTGGTATTATGATTATTCGTATCATGATTATTATTGTTGATGTTGCCGTCGCTGCTGATCGTTGTTGTTGCTGGTGTCGTCGTCGTCGTCGTGGCGTGTGTGCCGCGGCGCGGGTGGGTCGCGGCACGGGCGGGTCGCGGCGGGTGGGTCGCGGTGCTGATGGGTCGCGGGTGGGTCGTGGGTGGGTTGCGGGTGGGTCGCGATTGATTCGTGATTCGCTCGGTTCTCATCAGTGGCCGTTCTTGGGGCTCTCTTGGAACCGTCCCTGAGCTCTTGGAGCTTGGGGCACTCTTATTGGATACCTCTTGGGGCCTTCTTGGAGCTGTACTGTGGCCTTGTCATCCGAGGACCCTTGGAAGGAGGGCCCAACACTGCCCCAATAGGGCTCCAAAAGGCCACCAGGGGGGCCCCGAGATCTGTCACGCAAGAGAGGTTTCGTGCGAGCGCTCTTGGAGCCGTCTTGATGCCCAGCTCGAAAACCTACGGTGTAGATCTTCACGCCGGGCCCCACCTGGACCGAAACACTGAGTGTTGGGGTCTCGGAATGACCTCTTGGAGCTTCCTAGGATTGGGGGCCCGAGCGCGGATATCTTCAATGTAGATTTTCATCCTGGGATTTTCCTGGAGCCCTCAAGGCCACTCTCGGGGCCCTCGAAGGGCCATCTAGGGAACCGGCTTTGGGCCCCAACGCGAAGATCTACAGTGTAGATCTTCAATTGGGGGGCATTCCTAATGCTTTCAGACAGCGCCATGAGGGCCTCAAGACAGCTCCAAGAGGGCACCAAGAACGGTCATGAGAAGCCTCTCTCGATTGACCCATCTTGGAACCGTCGCGGGAGCCTCCTATGGCCGTCCTGGGGCCCTCTTGGAACCGTTTGGAACCCTCTTGGGCCCCGCCCTCCGACCGAGCATTGAAAGGCCAGAGCGAGCCCACCCTGCCACGTTCATTACTCTTCCTTATCTTCCTCCTCCTCATCCTCCTCATCCTTTTCCTCCTTCTCCTTCTCCTCCTCCTCCTCCTCCTCCTCCTCCTCCTCCTCCTCCTCCCTCCCCCTCCTCGTCCTCCTGCTCCTCCTCCTCCTGCTCTCCCCCTCCTCCGCCTCATCCTCCCCCTCCTCCTCCCCCTCCTCCTCCTCCTCCTCCTCCTCCTCATATTCCTCGTGGTCCTCCTCCTATTCCTCGTGTTCCTCCTCCTTCCTCCTTTCCTCCTCCTTCCTCCTCCCCCTCCTCCTCCTCCTCCTCTACTTCCTCGTCATCCTCCCCCCCCTCCTCCTCCTCCTCCTCCTCCTCCTCCTCCTCCTCCTCCTCCTCCTCCTCCTCCTCCTCCTCCTCCTCCTCCTCCCCTTCCTCTTCCTCCTCGTCCTCCTCCTATTCCTCGTGGTCCTCCTGCTATTCCTCTTCCTCGTCGTCCTCCTTCTCCTCCGCGTCCTCCTCCTTCTCCTCCTCTTCCGAATCCTCCTCATCTTCCGCGTGCTTCTCTTCTGGCCGGCTGGCCGGCCGGGCGGCGCGGGCCGGTGACCACGGTGCAGAGCGGCGACGGCGACGAGCCCGCGGCGGCGTCGCGGCTCTGCGCGGCCCCAGAGGGAGGGGCCCACCTGAGGCCCAAGGCCCCCGTGGGCCACGCCCGAGGAGGTCCCGGGGCCACGGCGTCGACGGGGCAAAAGAGGAGGTGGAGAAAGGGCCACTCATCATCGCCCTCTCTCTCCTCCTCCTCCTCCTCCTCCTCCTCCTCCTCCTCCTCCTCCTCCTCCTCCTCCTCCTCCTCCTCCTCCTCCTCCTCCTGCTCCTCCTCGTCCTCCTCGTCCCCCTCGCGCCCCGTGGGGCGGCCGCGGGGGCCTCCGCTGGGCGGCCCTGCTGCAGCTGGGGGCGGCTGCCAGCCCAGGCGCGACGCCCGCCCGTTCTGCTCCCCCATGGTCTTACTCCCTCTTTCCTCCCCCATCCCTCCGATGATGATGGCGATGATGCTGGTGTCGGACATCGCACCAGCCGCAACCTTGTCAGCACCACTAACACTTACACCCCATCCCAGGGTAAGTGGCAAACCAGTTCGGGCGCCCTCCGGAGAAAAGTGTTACGTCTCCTGGCTAGCGTGCGGCTGATGCAGAACATTTCAATGCAATCGATATTTTAGATAGTGAAGCATGCATTTCGCATCCGAGGTCCTGCACCGTCTCATTTTTCCTTGCCCTCCTCACCCCCCCCCATTCCCTGCTGCGCAAAATGCGTTTGTGTGAGCTACTTCATGCGGAGAGTCGGCAGTGAAACGCTCATCGGCGACCCAAAACCCCTCATTGCTGGAGGCGTCTGAAAACCATATTCGGCAGGCGGGCGCTGATTGGGCGAATGCTGCTCAGGCGAAAACGGAGGAACGGCCTCGACAGCGTTCGGGCCACGTTGCCCGGGGGGCGAGCTCGAGGCCACATCGACCACGGGTCTGCTCGGGCCTAGGGCCGAATCAGGAAGCGGTGCGACGTCGGCTTGAACAGCCACCCCGGCGAAACAGGATGCCGGGTCCACTCTGCCGTCCCCGCGGGACCAGGCGCCCTCACAATCCTTTGTCTGGTAAGGATAAAGACCGACGGCCAAGCGATCGAACACCTTCTCGTGATGTTTCGATTTCGGCTTCTCTGGGCACGGCCGCGCGAAGGCAGCGCAGAAGGAATTCCTCGCCCAAAGCCCGCACTTTCGACACCATATCGGATTCGCCAGCCCCTGCTCCCCCATGAAACCCGCCACCGTGCCTCTGGGCACGGACTGGGCGTGCCCTCAAGTCTTTTGCATATTTACTGGAGTTTTAGCCCTCAACCCCCCTTTTCATTCTGCTCCTCCTCCTCCTCCTTCCCCTCCCTCCCCCTCCCCCTCCCCCTCCTCCTCCTCCTCCTCCTCCTCCTCCTCCTCCTCCTCCTCCTCCTCCTCCTCCTCCTCCTCCTCCTCCCCCACCTTCTCTTCTTCGTCCTCGCGATCCTAGATCATGTCCGATCTGCTGCGAGCGGTGGCGGCGGCGGCCTTCGGAGCCTCCATGGTCGCCGACAACCCCCCTCCTCCCCCCTCACCCCCCCTCGCCCTCCGCACGGCCGCGCGGAGGGGAAAAGAGAGACACGGGAGGGGAGGGAGGGCGAACAGCAGGAAAGAGGAGGAGGATGAGGAGGACGAGGAGGCGGAGGAGGAGGACTCCCCCCTGTCGCCTGCGAAGCCACAGTTGCCAAAGGACACGGTTGGGGACGAGGAGGAGGAGGGGGAGGAGGAGGAGGAGGAGGAGGAGGAGGAGGAACAGGAGGAGGGGGAGGAGGAGGAGGAGGAGGAGGAGGAAGAGGAGCGGGAGGAGGAGGAGGTGGAGGAGGAGGAGGAGGAGGAGGAGGAGGAGGAGGGGGAGGAGGGGGAGGAGGAGGAGGAGGATGTGCATTGTGTTCGGGCCTCGGTCTGCGAATGGTTTTGGCGGCCTCGCCCCCCCGACGCTCCGAACAGGCCCAGGAGGCCCCCCAAATCGCCCCAAGATGGCCCAAGATGCTTCCAAAAAGGGCCCCAAAAAGGCCCATTCGCGTCCCAAGACAACCCACGAAACGCCCAAAACTGTCCGAGAGGCCGGAAAGACTGCACCAAGAGGGGCCCAAATGCGGGACCCGAGCGGACAATTCGAGCTCTCAGCCCCGAGGGATTCCCGGGAGACCCCAATAATTCCCGAGAAGCCCCTGAGAGGCTCCGAGGCCACCAAAGATACCCCAACTAGGTTCCCAATCTGCACCCAAAAAACGCACCTGAGAGCGTCGCGAAGAGATCCCACGAATCAGCCCTGAGAGCGCTGACCCAACCGCGGTGGCGGATGGGCCAAAGGCCGTTGGATACTTCGGAGTCGGGCGATCCTTGAACTCAACCAACCGATGCGTCACGTGGAATTTGAACATGCCTGGGCGCGTCAACTTTTCTGTCCACAGCGGAGAGTTGTGGTACGGCTCAAGAGAATCCCAGGCGCCCCAGAAGAAGGGCTTCCTCTGATCACCACTCTCACTTTTGATCCAATATGCACGATGGCGGTTCGGGGACCTCGAGCGACAGTCACCGCGGCCAGCCATGTGTGTCTAGGGGCGTCTGTAGGGGAAGTGAGATTCCAGACTGGAAAAACTCGGGCACAAATGCCTGGTGGAGGAAGAGCAGGAGCATGCGTTGCAGCATCGTTGGTGCGCCCTGCGTTCATTGCAGTCGGGCTGCTGAAAGAAGGAACGCTAAATAAGGAACGAAACCCCTTTTTGGCCCTGTAAGCGCCTCCGCGCCCCGGGAGGGCAAGATGAACAACGCCGGGGGAACCTGAGGAACATCGATCCCTTTCCGAACCCAAGGTGTTCCTTATTTCAGCGTCTTGAGTGCATGGTGCTTCTCGGCCACGCGGGCGTGGAAAGGAGGAAAGGTGGCGAGCGGGCGGGCGCCGTGGAGGACGAGAGCGAGAGGGAGGGACACCATCCGTCTGCCGACCCCAGGCGCGAGGGTCGCCGGCGGCGGCCGCCGGCCTCAGGACCACGCCCAGAGGGGGCGGGGCTCCGTTCGGAGATCCACAGTTCGCCTATGATAGGCGAATTGTGGATATCCGAGGAGGGCGCTGAGGAGGAAACGGATGAGCAGGACGGCGGAGAGGGAAGTGGAGGAGGAATATGAGGAGGAGGAAAAGGAGGAGGAGGAGGTGGACGAAAAGGAGGAGGAAGATGAGGGGGGGAGGAGGCGGAGGGGCCCAGGACCTGTGGGCGGATGGGGAAGGCGACCAGGAGGAGGAAAAGGAGGAAGAGGAGGAGCAGGGCGAAGAGAGGGAGTTGCGAATCATTTCAACACCGCCTCAGGAAATCCCCCGAGTGCAGTGAGGCTTGTCTAGCACGGCCAGCCTCGCGACGAAGCCGCGGGGCCCGAAAGCGTTGGGCACGCCGGCGAAGTCCTCGGGCGGGCGGGCGGGAACGGACGGAGGCCAGCACCTCGCAGCTGGGCCCAGCCGGGAGCGAGAGCTCGGGGGCGTGCGCAATCCAAGCCAAGGGGGCCAGGAGGGGGGAGCACAAAAGAAGATGATGATCGAGAGGGGTGAGGGAAGGAGAGGAGGAGATGGTGAAGGACGGACCCCACCAGCCTTTTCGGGCGTAGGTGGTTCAGGGCGTGTTGTTTTCCATCTGCCCCTCTTCCCTTTCGGGGAGGGGTCTCCCCCTCCCCCCCCCCTGGACCTGGACGGGGGGCCCCGCTGGGGCGCCCCAAATGGCCGAAGATGGTTTCAAGAGCGCAACAGTGAGCCCAAGATGAGCTCCAACCTCAAGATGGCCTCCAAGTGGCCAAAGAGCTCCCCAATGATGCCCCGATAAGGCCACCATCCCTCCGAAACGTATGGGAAATCGGTGGCGTTCGCTTACGATGGCCTTCCGAGGTCCCAAGATAGGGGCCCCAGGGAGCTCCAGAACAGCCCCATGAGAGCCCAAGAGCATTCCAAGATCGCCCCAAGAGGGGCCCAAGAGGCGATTTTAAGTATTCTTAGAATGGCGAGGCTACTTCGGGACCACCTTTTTGTTGTTCGATGTCGTCCAAGATGGACCGAGGAGCGCTCCCAAGACGCCCGCGATCGCCCTACAGGGGCCCCTAGACGCCGCATAGATGGCCCCCAGAGGCGCCCAAGATGCCTTCCAAGAGGCTCCCAATAGACCCCCAAGAGGCTGCAAGAGGATCCCCGAGGCACCCAATATGCCCCACAGACGTGCCAAGAGGCATCCCGAAACTCCCCAAATACATCCGAAGAGGCTCGTATGTGCGTCCGTTGTCGTCCTGCTCCTCCTCGTCCTCCTTTTCCTCCTCCTCCTGATCCTCCTCCTCCTCCTCCTCCTCCTCCTCCTCCTCCTCCTCCTCCTCCTCATCCTCCTCCTCATCTGCCTACTCTTCCCTCCTCCCTCCTCCCTCCTCTCCTTTGCCTACCTCGGACGGGTTCCCCCGCCCTTTGTTATTATGCACGCTCCCCCACTTCCCTGATCACCTCAACTCCCTTGGGCGTGGTTTCTGGATGGACTTGTGGGGATACGCGACGTTTCCCCTGCCGGGATCCTCGAGCTCCTTCTCCTTAGCCGAGAGAAGCGCCACGCACTCCAGCGGCCGCTTGTTCCGCACGGTCGGGCCCGCAAGCCGCGACGAATTCTGGAGAAACTGTTCCAAGCTCCCCAATATGTCCCAGTTGTTGTCGCTCTCCAACACAACCCTGTGACATATTTCCCATATGCGAGCGTTGGCCTTGATGAACCTCGGGGAAGGCCAAACAATCCTGCGAGACTCCAGTGCAGACTTGTACACCAGGCAGGGGCCGACCCTGCGGTTCTCCACGAGAGAATCGACCCACGCAGTCGACCCTATCCGGCACCCCCTCAACATTGCCTCCCACAAAATAGTAAGCGATGGCTTCGTAATATCACCAACGAAGAATACTTTGGCATGTTCTGGAGAATGGCGCACGACCATGCCGATCGAACGGACGGTTGAATACAAACGCTCACGATCCCCTGCGAGAGTCTCATCGAGGAACACGGTGGACCCCTGAATGGACTCCCTCACTTGCTTCGCCGTGGGCTGGGTAGTTAATGTTTTCGATCTCTTGGCTGCCACCTCCCGCTTTTCCCTGGCCCACTTCTCTCGGAAACGATTCGCCAATACTAATATACGGTCGTCAATTGTCGTCTCGCGTCGGAGGAGAATCCACCGCCCGCGGGGCGGGCGCAGGATCAGCTTGAGTTACTTCCCCATAGGTTGACAATCGCCCCTTTCATCATCGCTGCGCCCCCCTCCCTCTCTACGTCCTTGCCCGCCCCCCTGTTGTCGTACCACGCTTTCCACGCCACTCGCGGCAGGTTGGGGCCTGGCCCCAACCTGCCGCGACCCCTTGCCCCCCTCATCCACGTCGCCACCCATCGCCGCGAGGAGTTGCGGACGGCCGGGCCCCGCCTGGAGGACTGCGGGGGAGGGGGGGGGGGAGGGGGCGCTCGCGCCAGGTGGGCGGAATGATCGCAGCAGGGGTCTGGCGGACGCGACGCGCGATAGCACGAGTGATTTTGCTCTCGGCCGCGTCGATCCGACGCCGTTTCAGCTGACACCGTTGAAATAACATCTCTTTGGAGTAGCTGTCCTGCCACTGGCCCGCGGCCTTCGCGGCGTCCATGGCCTGGCGTTTGACCCCCGTGGTACTCCCGATGGACTGCTTGACCAAATCAGACACCTGCGAGCGCCTGGCTGCCATCCAGCGAGACTCTGTGAGGCGACCGTCCTGACAGTCGGCTCGGGTCCAGGTCGCGGGAGCTCAGCTACCGCGAACGAGACCCGAGCCGACCGCGGACAGCGAAAGGCCCCTTCCCTCAGCCCGCGGCCGAGAGATCTGGGGAAGGAAAGCATAAGAGAACTAGGAGAAGGAGAGGGCGAGTAGTTCAATAAAATAAGGAACAAGGGTTTGGACGGTGAGGGGAGGAGTGCGAGGGAGGATTGTTGTCCTGGCGGCAGCTCTTGACGCGCTTCTGGTGGGAGATCCGCGGCGGCTTGTAGAACCGCTGGTAAATGCGAATGGCCTCCTTCAACACGGCGTCTGTGATGTTGGTAGCTGGCTCTAAACACACTCTCAATTCATCATCCTCGGTGCTGATGTTGCACTGGTTTCGCCGGCCATCATACAACAACTGAACGTGTGCAAAATTTTGCTCAACACCACTGCTTGTGGCCCCGCAAAACAACATGTATCGGGCCATCACAACTCGCAGCGCCTCGACGGGATGACGCTCCCTGAGCCTCCTGTCGTTCAACTTCTCGAAGGCCTTCGTCCAGCACTCTCTCGACTTCAGGCGCCCCTCGGACTCGACGTGGAAGCTCGCTGCGACGGGGTGCACGTCCTCGTATTGCGAACGCAGCTCGTACACATCCACACCGAATGCATTCGCCAGCCTGGTCATGGCAGCACCGCTGTTCCCCTTGCCACCGCCACTCAGCTCAAACACCTGGAACAAGTGTAGTATATCAAACTCCGGCAGCTCTGATTCAATAGTTTGAATAGCCATTGCAACCCACCCTTGAAGCCGGGCCATGCACCGATTCAACAACGCATTGGATACTCCAGCCGGCGACATTAGCTTTTTGACCCCATCGTAGTGGACGATGACACGTTGGCGACTCATGAGCCTCAGCACGTGCTGAGTATACCCTGCGTTCACGCAGCGGCCTTCTATAAATAACACACGCACGCGCTGCTGGAAATCGTGGATAATGGTAGGTATCTCAGCTACATCATACGATTCCGTATCAAAAAACGGAGAACGTGCAGAAGCTCCAGGGTGGCGTCAGCAACCATTGCAAGACATACGATACGCTCTTCATCAACCCAGTTCAAAAAAACACGACACTTCTTGCCACAATCATCTCCCCGGTAGAACATGAAGTGAACTATGGTGTCAAGCGCGGCGTCGAGATACAATATGATTCGACCTCCGTGAAACTCAGAAACACGCCAACAACCCTGGGCGGGAGGTGGGTTCGGAAATTAGCTCATCCAACCTCATCTGTTTAAAAGGGGGCGGGGGGGATGGGGCAGGCAAGGCATTCGAAATTTTGTTCGACTGCAAAACGTAATGTAGCCAAGTAAGGTCGCGGCACTCCGCGTAGCCCCACCAGCCCATCCAGAGTGGATGCCCAGAGAAGTTGCCCTGATCAGGGAAGTGGGCAACACGCAGAGAAATGGTCCCTCTTGGAGCGTTTTTGTGACACTATTGGGCGTTTATTGGGCCGTCGTGGGGCTCTCTAGGGCATCTCTTGGCACCTTTAGGTCATCTTGGAACCATCTTGAACACGCACAGTGACACAACCATTCTTGTCTTTTCGAATGTTCAATCGAAGTTGGTTTCTAGGCGGCATATTGGTGTTGATGTGTTGTTGTTGTTGGTGTTGTTGTTGTCGGTGGTGTTCATCCTGGGCCACCGAAGGCATCCATTCTAGCCTAGAACGGTCACGTTCTACGCTAGAACGGTGCCGTTCTAGGCTAGAACGGGTTCGTTCTAGGCTAGAACGACCACAGTCTACGCTAGAACGGCGCCGTTCCAGGCTAGAACGGCGCCGTTCTGGGCTAGAACGGGGCCGTTCTAGACTAGAACGTTGTTGTTGTAGTTGTTGTTGCGTATGTTGATGTTGCTGGTGGTGGTGGTGGTTATGGTGCTGGTGTTGTCGTTGTTGTTGGTGTTGCAGCTGTTGTTGCGCTCTTGAGGTGGTCGTGGGCTCTCCCGGGGCCGCACTTGATCTCGGGCATCTCTCAAAGTTGGTTTGGGCCATTTTGGACCCAGATCGAGGCCACTGCAGGCCATCGGACGTGGAAAGGCGGTACGCCCATCCGGGGACGACGCCGAGACTTGCCCGGATCAGGGAAGTGGTGGAGCATACAGAGGAACAACATGTTGTAACAAAGACACGTTTACCCCAAGAGGGGGAGAAAAGGGATGAGAAATCGATGAATGAGGAGAAGAAGGGGGATGAATCGGATGAGGAGAAGGAGTAGGAGTAGGAGAAGGACACGGAGGAGGAAGACGACGAGGAGGAGGAGGAGGAGGAGGCGAGAGAAAGTGGAGGAGGACGAGGAGAAGAAAGAAGAGGGGGACGAGGGGGGGGAGTGGGGGAGGAAGAATAGTGGAGGAGACGGAGGAGGAGGGGGAGGAGGAGGAGAAGGAGGAGGAAACGAAGGAACCAGAGGAGGAGGAGGAGACGAAGAGCAAGCAGAAGGGGCAGAGGCCTCTTGAGTGCCTTTCAGAGTCTTCTCGGATGTCTCTTGGAAACTGTTTGGGGGCCTCTTGGAGCGTCTTGGGGGCATATCGGCGGTCCTGGGTGTCTCTGGAAGCGTTTTGGGTGCATCGGGGAGCCCCTTGGGGCATCTTGGGGGTCTCTTGGGAGCCC